AACACAAAATGCGGATCTACTATTAAAACAAGGCCTACAGAAAAACTGAATGGCAATAAAAGTGAACTCAGCTGTGAACTTAATCTAACATTCGGGTGTAAAAGGAACCCATTGCAAATAAGACTAAATAAAAAGTTAAGTGAGGAAAATAAGTCAAAAATAAGTAAACAAAAAATTTAAAAGAGCACGAAATCAAAAGGCTATGGAATTCAATATAGGAGCCTAGTGATGTTTAAATGCAAAAATCTATAGCTACTTAATGTAAATAAACCACCGAACTTCAACGAGAAATCCCAGGCTAATAATTACAGCGATAAAAAAAATCCATTGTTCGCGAGAAAAGCAATTACTAGCAAAATTAGCAAAATTAATAGAAAAATAAGCAAAACAGCTAAACGGTATACAACAAAAAAACTTAACGCGGAGTAAAAAAAAAATCCAACCACTCTAAAGCCTATATATATGTATGTAAATAATAAGTAAAGTCTAGGTCATAATAACAACTAAATATGTATGTATGTATGTATCGGCGTAACAAGATTTAAGGAATGCCCCTCTGATGCCACTACTGTTGTTCCGCGGTGTGGTTGGAGCACAAGTCTCCACGGCTCTCGCTGGTTCTGATTGGCGGCGTAGGTGGAGCGGCGCTAGTCTCCCCTGCTCTCACTGATGCTGCTCCCGTTGACCGCGCTGAGGTGGATGCTGTTCTCTCCCTCGCTGTTACGCTTTCGTTGACGACTATGCTCTTCTGTATGGGGCTGTGCAGAGTCCACAGGTCTGTAATATGGCCGTTGACCTGTTTTAGCTGGACTAGCTGGAACAGCTGTTGGCGACGGCGGTGTTGTTGTTGCCAAATATCTGTTGGCCAGTGTCAACTACTCTGGCTTAACGTTGCGGTGCGGATATAACCCAGGCTGGATGCGGGTACTTATCTGTCCGGATGCGTGTGCGATTTTATGTACATGCATATATACCCTTGTTGGCAAACATATATGTAGGTGCGTGTGTTGGCTGCGGCTGTGATTGACCACGGTAGTTGTATCGATGATGGCTGGTGCGTATGTACGTGTGCGTCTCCGTTGCTTTCGATCATCCAGGTTTCATGCTCCGACTACGTGGCGAGCGAGTCTTTGTCCAAGCGG